GACGCGCGCTGATGACGCAGGCCCGGCGGATTGGCCAGTCGGCGGACTCCACTCGCGCATGCTCCGGCGTGATCAGTAAAGGGTGGAAGCTGCACGGTCTGAACCGAGCTGTGTGTGAGGTCTGGGGGCGGCGAGGGGGGTGCAGGCACCCGGAGCGCCGTAGCTTTGCAGACACAAGTCCTGGGGTGCAAACGTTGGATGGCCAGGGAGGCTCCTAACACCCCCACTGAGGTTCTCCTCTCGTGCTGTGAAGATGCACGGACCTGCGAGGGACCAGGGGAGGGAGAGCAGCCTGGAAGACAGTGTTACCGGGGCCATACTGGGTGTGGCAGCAGAGCCAGGGGCAACTCGCTGACCAATGAGGACAGAAAAAACAGCCACAAATTTAAGTTCCAAACACACTGCGCATTTGTACCGTAATAACATGGTCTGGCCCCAAAGCCCAGCCGACAGTCTCCTGAGTGCCAGGGCAGGGAAATCATGACAGGCCCCAGCGCAGAGGGCCAACCTCCTTGAAGCAGGCCAAGTCCCAACTGCAACACAGGGCAGTCTGCTCTGGAAAAGGGCCCAGAGGGAACACCCTCTCTCAGCTCAGAGATGGGACCCCAGGAGCATTCTGAAGAGGACGAGGACACCAGAGGGTAGCCAAGTGCAGACTAAGCAAGCAGGGCTGGGCAGGTCTGGAATTCAGACCTCAGGCCCACAGACGGGTGAACAGTCAGGGGAGCAAGTGCAGGGCAAAACTGCGCAGGGAGGCTCAAGGTGCACCCGAGGGGCACAAACCCAGACACCAGTGCCTCTGCGTCAGGCCTCTAACAGGGTCCCAGCCAAGGCTGTGCCTACCCAGGAGGGGGAGGGGCCTCCAGCAGCCCTGGACTCTGGGACAGCCTGTTTCTCACCCAGAAGCCCAGAGATCACAAACTGAAGTAGTCTGCAGCCAGGCGACCATAGATGTCCGTGGTCCAGACCACATGGGCACGGCCCGAGGCTAGCAGCAGCTGGTGCAACTCAGCCTCCACACGGGCAAATTTCTCCTCATTGATGGAGGCCTCCAGCAGAACAGAGGCAGGTGGCGGCCAGGGCAGGCCCTCATAGCAGTCCACAGGGAAGGGGTGCACCACTGTGCGCAGCTCGGCCTGTGCCACCGAGTCCCGCAGGAGCTCCTTAAGACCTGCCATGGACAGTGGGTTGCCATAGAGGCCGAGGTAGCGGAGGCTGGCGCAGCGGGTCAGCACAGGGAGCATGGCCAGCAGCTGGGTATCAGCAAGCTGGCACTCGGTCAGCTCGAGGTGCAGCAGTGTGGCCGCCGCCGCCTGCAGCAGACCCTGGAAAGGCTCCAGCTGGCTGCCCGACAGGTCGTTGCCACTCAGGTCCAACTTCTTGAGGTGGACGGCATGGGGGCTGCGTGCCAGGAAGCGCAGGTCCTCCGGCAGCAGAGCACAGAAGGCCAGCTCCAGGCTCTCCAGGGGGCTCTGCAGGGTGCTGCAGGCGAAGCAAGGGGTCATGAACAGGCAGGCAGGGGACAGTCTTGGGGAGGGGAGAGGCAGACAGTAGTAGGGCCCACTCACCTGAGCAGCTGGTCCAGCCGCCCTGAGAGGAGAGAGGAGCCCATGCTGAGCTCCCGCAGACAGGTGAAGCGGCCCATCTGGGCCAGGAAGTATCGGAAGTTGTCCTCGCCATCCACGGAGGGCTGCCGTGAGTCCCCGTGTACATAGTGCAGCCGAAGGCTGGCCAAGTGCTGAAAGCGGGCCACGTGTGGGATGATGACAGACAGGCCACGCAGGCCCAAGTTGTTGAAGCGCAGGTCCACACGGCGCAGGCAGCCTGCATCCAGAAGCTGCAGCAGGGCCACAGTGTTTCGCATGGGCAGGTCCTCAGCCCGCAGGTCCCGGCAGCAGAGCCGCAGCGGGCTGCCTGCGCTGCTACGGAGGGCCTCCCGCAGGAACGCGTAAGAGGCCCGGTTCACCCGAAGGTCCACACGCACCTCCACGGGAGCAGGGCTCGGCCCAGGCTCCACAGTCCCACCTTGCTGCTGCGCGATGCATGTGCGGGCCACGGCTGCTGTGCAGTCCCACATGCTCATGGTGCCAGGGTCCTGCTCCACACCGTCGTCCAGGAGGCCCGTCATGTCCAGCACCCGCAGTGCGTGCTTCCTGGGAGCACAGGTGGGCTGAGAAAGGTGATAAGAGGGAGAGCCCACACCCAACCCCAGCCACCTTGGAACAGAAGCAACATGCCTATTCCTGCACTGAGCTCTTAACACCAGCCTGAAACCTCTCTGGGGACCCTTTCTGTACATCCCAAGCCTGAGGGCCCCTCAGGTGAGCCCATACCTGCAGAAAGACCGTGTGCCAGCCTCAGCCTCTGGGGTGTGGAGCCGGGCTGTGAGCCCCAGGATCACAGCCTGCATGCTCTCTGTGCTGGGCCGCTCCTGCAGCAGGGCCCGGCTGCAATGGGCACACTCCTGCAGCAGCTGCTGGAAGCTGAGCAGGGGGAAGGGCCATGTGTGCACCAGTTCGCGTAGCACAACAGTCTTCTTGTCCATGAAGGCCACCTTGAACAGCAGGGGGAAGAGCTCGCGTGGGAGCAGGGGCAGAGCCTGGCAGGCCGCGGGCTGGCACTGGAGCACCTGCCGCGTGCTCAAGAACACAAGCGTGTGCATGGCGCCGGGCAGGGCAGGAGGCCACCTGCAGGGAAGAGACCGTCAGTGGGGAGGACAGACCCCAGGCTACCACCTGCCACAGGCTCCTCCACACACTAGTAGCAGGAAAGCCCAGCCCAGTGCCTGCCAGTCAGTGGTCAGTGGGACCACAGCTCTGAAGAGTAAGTGCTAGGTGCCTGGCAACGGGCTAGGCAGAGTGCAAAGGGGGACGAGGCCACCCCCAGTTCCCACACTCCAGAAGCACGGGGGCCTGTTTAGGAAAACAAAGCCATCAAGCAGCGCGGAATAGCATGGCCCCAGAGAGGACCCGCCCACCTGGTGCGCTTTTGACAGCTGTTGCCTGCAGGGCCTCCCCCACCCTTACTTCAGGCCTCTCAAATTACAAAGCAGCTTATGAGAGATCCTCTCTCAAAAGTAAAATAAGGTTCTGGCCCCTCCCCCTCCACAAGCACTAGAAGGGTGGGATCCTGGGGAGAGGGGCCGGAAGCTGCATCACAGTTCACTCCCTACCCTCCTCAGAAGCTACCGCAGGCTGTCCCAGGACCCTGCGCAGCAGAAGAGAGGAGCTGGACACACAGATGCTCCTCAGTAAACACCAGGGTTGCTAGGCATGGACACCCCTGGAAAGCAACCCTCACCGACAGGGCCTTAGCAGCTGTCTAAACATCCCCCTCCTCCCTGAAGAACCAAGTCAAGAAACCAAGTTTCAAATCCATAGATGCAGGAGGCCCCAGGCCAGAAAACTGCTCAAATAGTTAGAGGCCACTGCAAAGGGGCATTCAAGCTAACGGGAGGCACAAGAAGATGCCTCCGGCCGCAGGAACCTGTGTCAGCTCTGCGGCTGACTCAGGGCACCTCATCCCCGAACTGCCGCCCGGTCCCAGGAAGCAGAACAGATGACGAGGGACGAGGCCTCCCCGGCCAGGGCCGCAGCCTGGGTGATGGAAGCCTGGGCGGGGAAGGGCGTCTGGCCCCAGACCTCACACAGAACCTAAGCCCTGAGCACAGCGGCTCCCGAGAAGCCCTGACGCCAGCCTCGGCCGCGCTCTGCCCGTGGACAAATCTCGCGAGGACGATGCATCCCTCGCCGAGAAAGGACAGACCCACCGAGCACCTGTCACGAGAGGAAACGCAAGCAGCCCGTGTGGTCACCGGGGGAGGAGCCTGTGCGGCGGC